GTGGAGAAATGTCAGTTACTTAGAAAGGTAATTATTTTAAAAGGGCAATCAGAGTGAAGACACACACCTGCTATTTATGCAATAGAGATAGTGAGGATTGTTTGCATCCAGGAGTTTGAGGCCAGCCTCAGAAACACAGCAAGACCCCAGCTCAGAAGTGAGCAAACAGTGCCTCTCATACACCAATACTAGGCCATTAATCTCCCAAATAATAAAACACTGTTGAAGAAAATTAACTCAAAAAAATGTTTGTCTCAGTAGAGAGAAAACTTTCCATTATAATGTAAGTGAACCACTGACTAGTAACTAAACCTTATGTGAGGGCATGAACTGCATCTTTAGAGTGTTGTGTAGGATGTCATAGAAGTCTTACACTCCAGTAGTCGTCCTGGCTCAGCTTTCTAAGAAACTTGGACTGTAGATACATGCTTCCATGTGCCCTAGCAAAGGAGATGATAGCTAATGTCTTATATTACAAACCAAGAAATAGTAATATGTCATTTAAAATACAAATATAGGCAGTATAGAGATGACTCTGTGGTTAAGAGCACCTGCTGCTCCTGCAGAGGACCCAGGTTCAGTTCCCAGCACCACATGCAGCTCCAGTTCTAGGGAATCAAATGTCCTCTTCTGACCTGTGCAAGCATTAGGCACTCACATGGTATCTATACATATGTGCACACAAAATACTCATACACTAAAAAGAAATTGTTTTTTTTAAGATGAAGATAAATATTAGAAGAGTTGACAATATGCCATTGAAGATAACAAAAGATTGAGTACTGTTTGACTTAGATTAGGTGGTCATTTTGATAAGAAAATGTAATCAATAATAAAAAAAATAAAGTTTTGCCGGGCGGTGGTGGCGCACGCCTTCAATCCCAGCACTGGGGAGGCATAGCCACGCAGATCTCTGTGAGTTCAAGGCCAGCCTGGTCTACAGAGCAAGATCCAGGACAGGTGCCAAAACAACACAGAGAAACCCTGTCTCAAAAAAACATAAATAAATAAATAAATAAATAAATAAATAAATAAATAAATAAATAAATAAATAAAGTTTTATATATATATGATTGAGAAAAAATCTTAATATAAATGAGCACTGAATAGTATCTTCTTTGCACATTGACTGATTGTGGGTCTCTGTGGTAATTACCATCTGCTGCAAGAAGATTCCTCATTGAAGTTTGAGAAAGTCTCTGATCTCTAGGTGCAACAATAATCATTGGGAGTAATTTTACTACTTATATACATTTAGCAGAATAGTAGTGGTAAATTCTCCCCTTAGCCTATGACTTAAATAACCAGAGGTTCAAAACAGCCATTCATAATGGCTTCTACTTTTTTTGTTATTCTGGTGATTATATTCATGCTTTTGTTTTTATTTTATTCTTTTGTTTCTGAGGATAGTGTCCCAGGCCGTGCACATGCTAGGCAAGTGTTTTACCGGTAAGCTACACTTCCAGCTCATGTGGTTATGATTTGAGGTATGTCTTTTGGTGAGGTGTAAAGCTATGTAGCCCTCCTGTCACCCAGCTGGCCGAAAGATGACTGTGTCAGGCTGCATTGTGGACATCAGGTTAATAGTGTACTTTGAGAGGAATGGACATTTGGCCTATGACCATCGTCGGTCTTTCGTCCCGGAGCCACTAATCTGCAGCCAGGAAGCAGCCCTGACCCAGTTGGGTGAGGCACAGGGTTATTCTGCCAGTGGGAACATGGCATTTCTGGCAAGAGATTTCTCTTCTAACTGTTGGAGTTGGTGCCATGGCAGGTTTTCCTGACTCGGGAAGCTAAGTGTTGACCCTCCATCCAGCTGGTAGATTATTTGTTGGTTTTGATTATCTGTCCCAGAGAGCTCCTTTGTTGGCACACATAATCCGAAGCAGGCCGTCGTACAAAAAAGAACTTGGTATTTCGAAATTAGAATAGATACAATTTTATTCAGTTTATACCAAGATTGTGCTTCTATAGAGGAGGGGAGGTTTATTGGATTCACTTACTTTGTTGCTTGGTGGTGCTGGGACTAGAACACAGGAGTCACGTGTCCTAGGCAGGGGCTTCACTCTAAGCTGTACCTTCAGCCCTCAGTCAGGAATGCTTAGGGCCAGCCATGTGTCCCCTGCCTTGTTATTCTTTCCTTACCCCATCCTCTCGGGTCTTCGGCACATTCTCTGGAGGTTGCTCCAGTCATCACTCTGATTGTAGGTTGAAGAGAGGGTCTGAGAGTCCAGTGACTTGTCCAAGGTCACAGGGGTCAGAGCCCCGAAGCTCTGATTCGTGTGGGCTCTTGAAACGGTGTCCTTTGCCTGTAGGTTTGCCTAACTGTTAGTGCAGCTGCTTTGTTACGTGAGGATATGAAAACAGCTGCTGTAAACTTAAAATGGTATAAAGTACATGTGGTGTTGTTGAATAATCTCACAAAAACGGAATCTATTCTTTTTAAGGAAGTTTGGATTTTGTTTTCTTTCTGTCACTCTTTTGTATCCTCTTAATGAAATACACTAGTGCATGTGTATAGTCTCTCTCTCTCTCTCTCTCTGTGTGTGTGTGTGTGTGTGTGTGTGTGTGTGTGTGTGTAGGTGTGTGTAGGTCAATGTCAGGTGTTTTCCTCTATAGCTCTCCACCTTATTATTTGAAACAGGATCCTGCACTAAACCTGAAGCTTGTCAAGTGCTTTAGACTAGCTGACCAGCAAGCTTCTGGAATCCTCTGTCCTCCAAGCTCTGAGGTTGCAGGGCAGCACCGGCCTGGCTTTCCCATGGGGTCTAGGGACTCAGACTCAGGTCCTCAGCCTTGCACCACAAACACTCCACTCACTGAGATATGCCTCCAGCCAGATACATCTCATTTTTTTCTATAAAATCACCATTTTCTTTTATATTTCTGTTTTAAGTCTTTTCTACCCCTGTCTGGAATATTGCTGCTATCTGTTCAGGGTTTCCCATCTGTCATTCCTTGCTGCCTAAAATTGATCATACACATTGATCCAGTTTTTAAAACTAAACTTCTCAAATTGCATATCTATTTAAGCCATTGTTTCCTACCATTCATAAGAAAAATATAGCCTACAGTCTATGGTCTCTAATGGTGTGACCCCATCTCGTACCCATGGGTCTTTTGTGGCTTCACATTGCTTCACCTTTTCTTGCCCATGCCAGTTTCTCTGTCCATGCTTTTGAGGCATGGATTTTCTCTATAATTCATTTGCTGGTTTGTTTTTTCTTTTCTTTTTTTTTGTGTGTGTGTGTGTACATGTTGTATATTGATTGTCTTTGTGTGTGTGTGTGTGTGTGTGTGTGTGTGTGTGTGTGTGT